GCCCATGACCCCATACAGAGTCTGGAGAGGGCTGTACGGTGTAGGCATACAGAGATTACGGCCCTAGGTCACGTGGCCAGTCACTGGTACTGTTGAAACCAGAACCATTCTCACATCTAACACTTATCTCACACGCACAATAAGACTTTAACATTGGAGAGCAACGAAGAAATATAAGTATCTCTTGAATTTCAACACTGTATTGAGACTTTGCCCCTTGACTTACTCTAGCCTCTTGCCAAAATTCTGAGGGTGATGGATGCCCTAGATCAGGGGTCCTTATTAAACTTTTCAAACAGGGGGCCAGTTCACTGTCTCTCAGACCCGTTGGGAGGGCCAGACTATAGTTTTTTAAAAAAAACTACGAACAAATTCCTACGTACACTGCACATATCTTATTTTGAAGTAAAAAAACAAACAGCACAAAAACACCTGGCAGGCCGGATAAATGCCCTCAGCGGGCCACATGTGGCCCACAGGCCGTAGTTTGAGGACGCCTGCTCTAGATGCTTAAAGACGTGGGTCTGAGTGGCTCTTCCGGCTTCAGCGGTCCCCACCACTAAGCCAGTTCCAATGAGAGACGAGACCACGCCTCCACCCCCATGGGCCCAAGCTGAGCCTCCTCAGAGCAGACCCATTTCCAGGGGCATCACTCTACCTCCCTCAGGTAGTATTTCTCAATTGGTCTCACCTTTCTTTCTAAGCATCAACTATCACCTGGTCTTCAGGACTGTTATTTCCCCTGAATCTCTCCTTAAGTTCTGACAAAGAGCCACTGTATTGATTTACCCGATGCTAAATACCTAGCAAAGAAGGTGTCTACAAACATACCTCTTTTATTTCCACAAGACCAGAAAGAGTCAGGGCCGAACACAGTTTAGATGCTGTCTTTACTTTGCTATTGTTAACTGCCAAGAGGAAAATGCCAATTAATAGCTGTATAGGTCAAAGCAGGAAAAAATAAAGGCTCTATCTTATCTGGGTCAGCAGGTATCAAAACAGTTTAAGGCGGATGCATTTTAGTGAACGGCGTTTACAGCATTCTGAGCTACCCACTGCCAAGCGTCACCATGCCATTATCGTGGTGCCTCATGGAGATCTGCTTCGGGGGTGGGCACTTCCCTTCCAGGCACGGCCAGGAGACGCCGACTAGAGTGGGTTAGGCACTGTACAGTGCACAGAACTGCAGGCACTCTATTTGTATCTACAGTCCTGACCTAAGATGGACACTGTACTCAGCCAGCGGAGGTTTAAATTCCCAGCCAAGCTAACTAATGATGGAGCTGTTGCGTAAGTACTGCACTGCTAGCTGCAAGGCCAGTAGTTCAAACCCACTAGCTGCTCCGAAAGAGAAAGATGAGGCTTTCTACCCTTATAATGATTTACAGGGTTGCCATGAGTTATAAATCAACTTGATGACAATAGATTTGTTTTTTTGGGAGGTTTTAAACACATCCTAAGTTTATATTTCCAGATTAACTATATAAATGTACATGTGTATATACATATATACATAAATTTCTACCACCTTTCCAATTCTATTATCATCTTTGATGAACTAGAACATTCCATTTTGATTCAAAGACCAATAACCATGCTAAAAATCCAGAACTGCGTGATTCTTTTAACAGTTACACCGTTGAGTCAAAAAGGTTTCCATTTCTTAGGCCATTAGCTTCATCTGAATCATTAATTACCCCCATTATTTCCACAGTTCCAATCACTATGTAAAAACCTCTTTAAAAAAAAGGAAGTGATAGATTCATATGAAGTTGAGAGGCAGGGGAAGAGTTCAGGAGGTCTCCTGCCCCTTAGCCCCTTTGCCAGTGGCTGCCCATGGGAACTGCATGTAGACCCAGTACAACATGAAGACCAGGGAACTGACACAGCCCAGCCCACGGGGCATACTCATGTTTCACTAGCTGCACGTGCGCGCACGTGTGCTCGTGTTGTTTTCCACTATTTGATCACTTGTCGATTTGGGAACGCACCACCACCACCGAGAGCCAAGCGTCCCTGCAGCACCTCCCCTGTGCTGTCCTTTGAAGTCACACCCTCCGCTTCCCTGTCGCTTCTAAGCCTGCTCTGCTATGTCGGGGCGTCCCTGTCTGCTCCTTTCCAGCGCCGCACACTTGTCCTCGGGGAGGGGTCTGCCAGTTTGCTCGGCCGCTTATTGGTCAAAGGTCACAATGTCTTCAGAGCTGCTGCTTCGGTTGTACATTGATCTAACCCCAGGGAGAAGGTTCTGTTATTGAAACACTGCTCGCCAAACACTTTTTGCTGCTCAGGGAGCTGTAGCAAGCATGCTCAAAGATTCAACTCGAGTCTTTCCAGAAGAATGTCTTACCTGCGGCTGTCTCTATTGGCTCTTTCAGAAAAAGGCAACCACCAGGCCGAAGGATCCGGGCCATCTCAGCCAAAACCTCAGGGCTGTGCAGAGTGGTGCTTCCTGGAACCACGCCCGACAAGATCACGTCAAAGCTGGATTCTTTGTGGGCAGCTGAAAAACAGGAAGATATGACAAAACAATAATTTATAAATTATCAAGGGTTCATGAGTGAGGGGGAGTGGGGAGGGAGGGGAATAAAATGAGGAGCTGATACCAGGGGCTTAAGTGGAGAGCAAATGTTTTGAGAATGATGAGGGCAATGAATGTACTAAGGTGCTTGACACAGCTGATGTGTGTATGGATTGTGACAAGAGCTGTACGAGCCCCTAATAAAATGATTTAAAAGAAGACATAGCCTTCACCTGGGCCCCAGAAGCCACCTCCCAATCGCCCAAGTCTCCCCCAAGGGACGGAGGCCAGCACACCCTACTTCCTCAGCATGCCTAGCAAGAGGGCCAGTGGGGTGGCAGCCCGTTCTCCCGTCTCACGAGGTCATACCCGTCCTGTGCTCAGAGAAAGGCAGTTAAAAGGGAGCTAGATAAGCAAAAGCTTTAGCCAAAAACGTGGACCAGCTAAGACAAATTGGTTACGTTCTTAGCCCACTGCAGCGCATACGGGAAAGGGCAGGCCACTTGTGCTGTGCCTCTCAAAACAGACCCAGACCCCCACCCTGTAGGGACACAGGGCCAGCAACTCACACTGCAACAGCTGGCTGAGGTTTTCCACAGACACATGGTCCTCACTGCCGGTCAGCGCTCGAAGCTTTTCCACCAGACACTTCAGAGCTTCCTCGGGGGATGACGCATCCCAGATCACAGCCACCCGCTGGCCGGCGGAGATTCCGTAATCGGCCATTCCTCGAGCACTGGTGGACACCGGCCAAAGGAGGATCGAGGCTGAGCAGAGACAAATGCATACCCGCGTTAATCCATGGCTCCTTCCAAGACCAAAAGTATCACCCAACTCAGACCTACAGCCACCAAGCTTGCTGGCAGCGTCGGAAATTCTTCCTGGGGTTGCTATTTGGGCTCTTTAGGATGAATAAATGAATACTGTGTCTCAAGGTTTCCGGATCCCAAACCTTCCCCCAAAGGCAGGGAGAGGATCCTGAGTCAAGAAGGGGATCAGGGATAAGTAAGGAGGAAGGAGGCAGGCAAGGTATTTCCTCTGATTTAGGAGATGCTTAGAAAACCACCGACTGCCATCGAGTCATAGTGACTCCCAGGTTTTGCCAGACTGTAACTGTTTATGGGAGTAGAAGCCCAGTCGTCCTTCCACAGAGCTGCTAGGGGCTCTGAACTGCTGAGCATGCGGATCACAGCCCAATATGTAACCTCTACGCCACCAGGGCTCCTTAACTTGTGTAAAGAGACTACAAAACAGTCAGACAGAAGTGAGCAGAATCGGGACTCAGCAAGGAGGGCAAAGAAGCCGGCCCACACGTTCATCACTTTCTTTATTACGGGATGACACATTGGACCTAGCAACCTGCATACTGACATTTCCTCTTCCAGCAAGATGGGGAGATTCAATGCCCTTGAGTCTGCTCTGCCTCCATCTTCAACATTTGCCATTAGGCAGATGGTTCAAAGCGCCTTAGTGACATCACCTCCCTGGAACCTCGGCTTTTAATGAGACGCCACTCGCATTCCAGCCAGGGACTGGAGGCTTCAGACTGCCCAGGTCAGACAAACTCGGGAGGGCAACGGCACTGCCTGGAAAGGCCCGGCTGCCGCCTCTGCAGAGACCCCCACCCACCAACCACCCCTCCGGCTCCTGCACTCGATCCTGCGGCGACTGCAGAACTTGCTCATCCTGAAATGAGGTCAGGAGGGAGCCTTCTGCTCAGCCCCGTCCTTCCTTCTGAAACATTAATGCCACCTCGGTTCTGACCTAAAAGGACCTCAGAAAATAAAGCAATGGCAGACGTGATAGCAGAGCACGGCCATAGATGAGCCTCCTGCTGGGCGCGTGGCAGGGCGCAGAGGGGCTCCCTCAGTGACAGGGACGTGGCGCCACCACAGACACTCTGGAAAGGCACCGCGGCCACATGCAGTCCACCCTTCCACTTTCAAAGGTTCGCTTTCACACAATTGCTTCCTCGTGGCCCACAGAGCATGTCCAGGTTAGCCAGAATCACGCCCAGCTACAGCACGGCCTTGACCGCATCGCTCCTCCGCCTTCTGCAGCCAGGTCCTCTGGGATCTGGCTTCCCCGCATCTCCCACCACTCCTGCTCGCCGGCTTAGCCCCAGCCAAAGCGACCCTTCCTGTGAAGAACCGTGCGTTTCATTCATCTCTGCTTTTTATCTAGTTCCTTCCACGGGGAGTGCCTGACTCCACACGCCCACCACTGCCATTGTCTCCACTCTGACTCACGGCTACCTGAGGCTGGAAATCTTGACGGACACAGGCAGTCTCGTCTTTCTTCCTCAGAGCAGCTGGGGGACCTGAACTGCCAAGCTTGTGGTGAGCAGGCCAGTGCCTGCCCGACGGCCAGCTGAGCTCACTGTGAGGACCAGGAAGATGAAGTCACGTGAGAAACTAGGGCTCAATCTCAGCCTGAAGAACCAGCCAGGGGCCATGGGGGCAGGGACAACAGAAAGGAGGGACAAGCGCCCTGCTGCGCTCACAGGAAAGCCCCCCTGGAAGAAAACCAGAGGCAAAGCTCACCCATTAGCTGGAGGCACAGCCAGCTGTCTGGGCCTGTCCAGTGATGGTGTGGGCAGAGTTTTATGGAGGACAGGCTGTGAACACCCAAGTCCAGAGGCTCTATCTAGCTACATGACCGAGGGTGAGTAATTAGCTGTTCTGCATCGATTTTCTCATTAATAATGCAGGGTTGTGCCTCATATTTTGCAAAGCTGTTGTAAAAGTATCTGGCAAGATAAAAATATGTAGAGCACTCAGCAGGGTCTGGCTCCCCGCACGCCATAAAATATTACTCTTAGAGCACCAACGCAGGCCTCCACTTTCCTGAGTCTTGATTTGCTGTGCTCCAGAGTCCTATAAAATGCATCCGTGCCCCTCAGCCGGGCCAGCGGAAGAACTCTCCGGGGAGCCGTGTGCAGGTTCATGTGTGCAGTGTGGGCACCAGCACACACAATGCTCTGCACCGCACACACCCCGCGCCTAGTATCCCATGGCTAGCAGGGGCCATAAAACGCATTTATTAAACATTAACCCTCAAAAACTGTAGTATTAAAATTGTTGAGGGGGGGATGGGGGGTGAGGGGCCAGCCCCCACACGCTGCTTCTAATACTACCCACGGGTTCGGTAATGCACAATTGTACGGTTGAGATATATAAGCGTTATATTAAAGTCATCGAGAGCATGAGAGATAATATAATAATACAGTCAGACATATTACATGGTAGCATCGCTCACCTCCGCCCCGCTTGGTGGTCCTCGTGGGGGGAACCCGGCTTCCAGAGCAGGAGCCGCCTCCCTTGCGGGAGCAGCCCTCCCATCCACCGCCCTCATGGGAGCAGCCCTCCTTCCTCAGCCGCCCTCGCCTTTCCTCAGCCGCCCTCCCGGGAACCAGGGAGCCTCATTATTGCTAACCATGCATGATATTACTTTAGGGGGATACATCACAGCATTATGCGTCACAGAGAGGGGCAATATAATTCACAACAACCTGCGTCATAGGGAGGAGTTGTAACATAGGCAATACAAGCAATAGGAGGGGGATGGATGACCTGGAGGTGAACGTGCAATAGGAGGGAATAGGGGGGCATGTGTGGCAAGATAGTAGCCTAAGCTTAGTCATCTTAGAGTGGTCCCGGGCTTGCCTATGGGCACTGCTTCAAGGGAACAATAACAGAAAGGAATGGGCCCTATTTGTTGTGGGATAAGCAGTGGTGTCTGCTTGATCTAGACAGCTGACACCTCTCAGTGAGAGTGACTCCCAACCCACTCTTGATGGCTGATGTTAGGGAGAATAAGCTCTGACCTACTTTTGCTGACCGCCTAGTGAACAGTCATCCTCAAGCTAAATCTGGCATATATTTTGGGGAGACAACTTAAGAGAAATCCTTCTATTCCCCACAAAAAACCCGAGAAAGCCTCCACGTTCGGTCAGCATTTTACAAATACAATTGGACACAGCTTTCTTTCCAAGTGTCTCCAAGGCAACATCTCTCTCTTTTTCATCATCCGAGTTTTCTGGGGGTGGTGGTAGTGTGACTCTCTTTAAAAGTGATCCCCAAAGGCTCCTAAGCCACATGCAGTACACCTTTAGGAGCTGTGACTCAGAGCCCAGTTTAATATCCGAAAGGAGGCAAGGATAGAAAAAGGCATTGCCTCGCCACGGCTGTTAGGGAATTCTGCTGTGGCAAGCCCGTGGCTCTTCTACATGTTACAAGTTGGCAGTAAATGTGGCTGTCTCAGTACCGTAATGAGTACTGAGTATGAGTATTGTATCAATACTCATCTGTTTTTAAAGCGTCTGAACCAAATTGACTGCTGCCACTGAAGTGATCCCAACTTGGAGTGGCCCTATACAGGGTTTCTGAACCTGTAACTCTCTCTTTACAGGAACAACGAGCCTTGTTTTTCCTCCTCAGAGCCACTGGTGGATTAGAACCGCCAGCCTTGTGGTTAGCAGGCCAATGCTTACCTGACAGCACTAACAGGGCTACTTTCATCCATGTCTTGGTCTGAAGCCTAAGCTTAAACTTTTTATTTTTTGACCCCTTCACTCTCACAAGGAGTCACTGTCTCGAGAAGTGATGTGTGAGGCAGCCTGGGGCCTGCTGCCTATGGCCTGAGACTGAGCGAGTAAAGTCATCTTTTTCTTTCTTTCCCAACCGGCGCGGCTGTGCCAAAGGGACCCCAGGAACAACCCCCCACACCTGTGGGGAGGGTCTGCTCAGTGTGCTTTTCATTCTCTCCTTGTGGTGGTGTTTGTTACTCCTTTCTTGGAGCACATGACGAAGTCAACTGTCCCCGCGCCTCCTCACAGATGCGTCGTGCTGCTGCAGGGAACATCGGCGAAGGCGCAGCGGGAGAGCAGTGCAAACAGTGCCGGGCTCCTGGGTCAACAGGCACTGAGCTAACAGAAACAATTCAGGAGAATGGTGCTCGGGTACTTTCAACAAATGGAGAAAAATATCAAGAGCACTATGGAAAATATAAATGAAAAATTAGAACTCTTATAATAACAACACAGTAGCAATCTAGAAGATTAACACAAAGACAAAAGAATTAAATTACACTTTAAAAGAACAAAGCAGGAGAGATGAAGCAATGAAAAGCCAGATTAGTGAGCTTCAAGGCAGATTTCTTAATTCCAATCCACGAGAACAACAGTAAGTGGAAATGTGAAGAAAGCCACAGAACTATGCGGGACACTACTGAAGGGACCACTCGGGTCTCCTTGGGCTCCCGGAACAAGAAGAAACAAACAATCGCACAGAACACAGAACAGAAAAAAAAAGAAGTCTTGGGGAAAAACGTCCCTGACAGCATAAAAGGAGAGAAACACAAAAGATCAAGAAGCTGAAACAAAAGAGACCCCAAAAGGAAAAGACTGTAACATACTGTGGGTAAAGCTTCCCAAGGTCAGACAAGGGGTGAGACTCAAGAGCAGACTGGGGGGAAAGCTACCTACAAGGGGAGATCAATAAAAATAGGCGCAGACACTGGTGCAGAGAGGAACCGGAAACACAGGGAACCCAGGACAGATGACCCCTTCAGAACCAGTGCTGAGAGTGGCGATACCGGGAGGGTGGAGGGAGGGTGGGGTAGAGAGGGGGAACCGATTACAAAGATCTACATATAACCTCCTCCCTGGGGGACGGACAGTGGAGAAGTGGGTGAAGGGAGACGTCGGACAGGGCAAGATATGACAAAATAATAATAATTTATAAATTATCAAGTGTTCATGGAGGAGGGGGAAGCAGGGAGGGAGGGGAAAAAATGAGGAGCTGATACCAAGGGCTCAAGTAGAAAGCAAATGCTTTAGGATGATGAGGGAAGCAAATGTACAAATGTGCTTGACACAATGGATGCCTGTATGGATTGTGATAACCGTTGTACGAGCCCCCAATAAAATGATTTTTTTTTTAAAAAGAAAGATAAAAATAGGCTCAGATTTTTCAGCAGAAATTATGCCAGAAAGAAGAAAATCAAATGACAATTCTAAAACCCAGAAAGAAAAAAATTCATCACCCAAGAATGTTATAGTCTGCCAAATTATCCCTCAAATCTGAGGGGAAAATAAGGGTATTTCCAAGCAAGGAGAAATAACAGAAATTTGTTTCAAAAAAAGACCAGATATACAAAAAACTTCCAAGGGTAGCTCTTTGGACGGAAAATCAACAAAGCAGCGACCACAAGCCTGAAATCAACATACAAAGCATCACTGCTCAGAGATCAACCCACTTAAAGCAGTGTTTAAAATAGAACAAGACTGAAATAGGGGCCAAAGACATGAATCTGCAAAGAACACAAACACAGAGAAAGCAGAGTGAAAACATGTAGCTGTAAAACATTTGAATGGAGGTAGAGACAAGCAGTTCACAAGAACACACTCTTAAATTTGGGAAGAAAATAACAAATAACAAGGTAATCACAAAGAAAATTGATAAACCTCACCAAAACATAAAAGATGAAAAAATCTAGTAAAATATAAAGTAACAGCAAAGGAAAAAAGAACAAGAAAATCAACATACAAAAGAAACCCAGCATAGAAATTTAATAAGAATAAACTAATAATACCACAAAAAAATATACAGCAAAATGACAGCAACAAACTCACACACAATCAATAATGACACCAGTCAAGAGTCAGAAAGTAGCAGGTAAGAAAGCAAGACCTATCAATAGGCTGCTTACAGGAAACACACTTTAGATACAAAGACAAAAATAGACTAAAAATCAAAGGATGGAAAAATATATCAGGCTAATGACAATTTTAAAATAGCCTGAGTAGCAATTTTTAAAAAGCTTAAGTAGCGATATTAGTCTCTGAAAATATAGACTTCAGGGCAAAATGCATCATGAGAAATACAAAAAGTCATTACATAACAACTAGAGGGCCAGTGGAACAAGATATAACCACAATGAATAAATATGCACCGTACATTGATACATTATTTAAACTTTTAGTTAAAGAGAGAAATGGACAATACAACAATAGTAAGATACTTCAATATACTCTCTTGAAGGACAGAACACTGAGAAAGAGATTCAATAAAGGCACACTCACATAGCTTTTAGATAGACACAGAACACTCTATCCCCGTATATACTCGTGTACAAGCCGAGTTTTTCAGTACTTTTCCAAAGCAATCTATAAACAATGTGGTTCCAACCCATATCCCAGGATCATTCTTTTAAGAAATGGGGAACTACATACCAACTTCTTGAGTAGTGCCTTTGGCTTAGCCTGGTCTCTTTCCTCCCATATAAAGATTGAGTAAATACAGTGAGAGGATGCAATCCTATGTACGTCTCTCCTGGTTTTATTTAACCATGTGTCACTCCTTGCAACACCAGGATTGAAGTTTTTCTTCAATTCTTTCAGCTTGAGATAATGTTAGGCACATTCTTCCATTTTGGTTCTCTCGCACATTTCATTTCAACACTTTGTCTTCTCAAGCATTCCTTTGAAATTTTCTGTTCAGCTCTTGGACTTGATCATTTCTTCCATTTATTTGCTCGAGCAAGTTTCAGTGTCTTCTGATATCGCTTTGATCTTTTCCTTCTTTCTTTTGAATCACCTTTTCCTCTCTCTGTGTAAGTTCTTGATATGGTTCCACAGTTCATCAGGTCTTCTGTCATTAAGGCTCGATGAGTTAAGTCTATCCATGAGATGTCCTCAAAATCCAAGTGGGCTGTACTCAAGGTCCTATTTTGGCTGTCATGGACTCGTTTTTTCTTCAGCTTCAGCCTGAACTTATACAGGAGTAACTGACGGGTCTGGTCAGTCCCGGGCTTGGTTTCAACTGCTGATAGTGAGTTTTCCCATCATTTCTTCCCAAAGATAAAGTCCATTTGCTTTCTGTGTATTCCCTCTGGGGAAGTACATATATGTAGTCATTTGTTGTTTTAAAAAAGGTGTTTGCAATGAGTACTAATTGGTCTTACAAATTTCTATTATGCGATCTCCAGCTTCATTTCTATCACCAAGGTCATATTTTCCAACTATCGCTCCTTCCTGTTTACAACTTTTGCATTCCAATCACCATCACTATCAATGTATCTTGATTATGTTTGATCAATTTCACACTAGACACTGGTAGAATTCGTCCATTTCTTCATCACTAACTTTAGTGGAAGATGTGTAAATGTGAATAATAGTTGTACTGACTGGATCTCCTTCCATGTGCAGATATCCTACCACAGACAGGCTTGCGCTTCAAGATACATTCTGAACTATCCTTTTCGATGACACCATTCCTCTTGATTTGTCATTATCGGTATGATCAACCATCTGTCTGATTGAAAATGGCCGATACCACTCCATTTCAGCTCATTACTGCCTAGTATGCTAACCTTTATGTGTTCAATGCCATTTGTGATGACTTTCAATTTTCCTATTCATACTCAGGACAAGTTCCAGTTCTTGACAGATGTTTACAACTGTTTCTTCTCATTGTGAGTCATGCCCTGTCAGCAAATGAAGGCCCCGACAGCTTCACTCTATCCATATCATTGTGGTTGACTCTCCTTTGAGGAGGCAGCCCTTCCCCAGCCTTACTGTGAGAGCCTTTTAACCGGAGGGGCTCACTTCTGGCTCTATCGCTGACAACGTGCTGCTGTTATTCATACGATTTTCAGTGACTAATTTCTCAGATGTGGACACCCTATTCCTTCTTGCAGTCTGTTCTTAGTCTGATAGCTCTGAAACATGGTCACCGTGGGCGACCCTGCTGGTATTTGAAATAACAGAGGCATAGCTTCCAGCATCACAGCAATATACAAGCCACCACAGTGTAATAAACTTGACAAGTGGCAGTGAGTGAAATTAGTCAATAAAGAAAAAGACAAATACTGTATGAGATCACCATTAATACATACCAAGACAAAGGTATTCATACCGGAAGTAACAAACTTTGATGGTTTGGGAGTGGATGGACAGGCAAGAAATAAAAGTGGAGGGGGCAGGGGGAAGGCAGGCGCACAAGCAGTTGGAGGAGGAAAGTAGTTTAAGTTGTTAAATACAAAATCGATGATCTGAAATGTAAACCCCCATTTAATTCACAATAAAAAGTTAAAAGATACAAAACCAAAAAACGTCTAACAACAAATACATGAAATGTGAACTCGTGTGCCCAAAGTGAAAACCATTTACTTATTCCCCCTGAAGCCTGTGCGGAGCCCTGGTGGCCTGTAGTGTGTGTCCTTTGGGCTGCTAATCTCAAGGGCGGCAGTTGACCTCCCCACCCTCATGTGGGGAGAATACGAGGCTGTCTTGTCTGATACCATAATAACGATGGACTCAGAACCCAAACAGGCAGTGAGTTAACCCCGAATGCACTGCATGCAGGAGGACAAAGTTTCGACCTCCCCCCAGGGAGGCACCCGGTCCTCGCATTCCTGTCCCTCGACTAGGCCACCACCACCTCCTCAGGTCGCTGGGGCTCTAAAACTCAATGCCAGAAGGAGCCACTCGGCCTTTCCCAAATCTGCACATCCTTCGAACTGCCGGGGGCACTGTGGAACTTCCGGCCTGCAAGCATGCTACACGGGTTCCCACGATTTGGCAAGCTGGAGGTAATATTCAGGTGGAACCACGCAGTATCTTGGAGGTTCAGGCACGCCTAGAAGCTAGCTCAAAAATTACAACCTGTGCGCTCGGGCACCTCTGGAGTTTCGTTCTTGGCTGCCAGGGCCCAAAACGTCAGCTCCCCCAATGTCAGAAACGCAGAAAACGGACACGCTGCCACCTGGTCGAAGCGGGTCTTCGATCTAGGTGGCCCCGGCCAGCGGAGTCCAGGGCAGCCCGCGCCGGGCATCGGCTGTTCCCGGTTAAAGCCCGCGCCGTCCCTGGGAGGGTGGCCCCAGCGACATCCCCGCCGAGGGCGGGCCTGGGGACGGGGACTGAGAGGACGTGGGGACCAAGGTGGGCTGGGGAGGGGCCGTTAGAAAGGTCGG